AAATTTTCCCTTTAAACACCCAGCCTCCCATTTTTGTGACTTTTTTTTTTTTTTTTTTTTTTTTGTTCTTTCTGTGTCTTAATTAGCAAACTGGAAAAAATGTCAGTTGTTAACCCACCGTGGGCACCTGTGTACCGCAGGCTGCGATGGCAGGAGGTGACCCCCCAGCAGGCCGGGTCCTCGTGCCTTCGGGGAGGGTGAGTGCCCGGACCCTTGCCCAGACCCCCCATCCCAAACATCTAACCTTGCTGGCTCATCATCCCCCAGCCCAGCCCAGCATGACCAGACCCCCTGCTCCCCTCTTGCCGTCCCCAGCACCACCGGGCAGCACGTCGGGCCGGTTTCGGGGGGGAATATTCGCCACCAGCTCCTCAGAAGAAAGGCGAGCGCTTACCCAACAGCGCTGCGCCGGGAAGCTGATACTCCCCGAGAACATTGCCTCATACCATCCGTGCGTGCCTGGGATGGGGAGAAACGCCGGGGAGCTGCAAAAGCCATCCAAAAATGAATGTACTGTCTGCAGCAGCGCCGGGGCCGCAGCCCGGGGGAAGCGACTGCCATGTGTCATGGAAGGAACAGCAAAGGGAAGGGTCCTGTGAGGATAGCGGGAGCTGCACCGCAGGAGCAGGCTGCGCCGTCCCTGCGGCTCCGCGGGCTTCGTGCAGCCTCTGAAGTGCTCCAGGACAAGCTGAGGATGGGACGGACTCTTCCACTGCCTGCGTGCCTCCTCCTCCTCCTCCTCCTCACCCCCACGGAGGGAAGGTGCTCCCAGCCCCCCCGGGGATGCTGCCGTGGGGTCCCGTCCCTGGCGCAGCACCCGCTTGCCCCCCGCCTTTGATGCTCTCCGCAACCGAGGTGGCCCGGGGCATCTCCCGCCGTAGACCCAGCAAGGAGCAGTTCTGCGCGTCCCGGTTTTTGCTGCCTGGCCCCGGGGGGCATCGAGCGGAGGCAGAGCCCGCGCCGGCAGCAGCCAGGCAGCTCGTGGGCAGGGCGCTGCCCGTCTGGGCGCTGGGGCAGCCCGGCACCCAGCTGGGCCCCACTTTGATGTGGAGTCACAATGCAACCCGGCTCAGCCTGCAGACTGGGGCGGGAGTGAAGCAAGGGTGATTGATTGTCTTGTTTTGTTCCTCCATGGCCGCCCCGGATCGTTCGGATTCACATCCGAGGTCCCCCGAGAGCAAGGAAGGGGAGGGGGGGACGGCAGCGTCCACCCGGGCTGCAGGGATGGGGCGGGGGGGGGGGGGCGTGCAGGCTGTGGCCGGGGGCAGTGGGTCAGGGGGACTGGGGTTGCTGCTGCCCTCCGGGTGGTTCGAGCCCTCTGTGCCTCAGTTTCCCCACTACCGCTGCCCCTTAGGAAGATGTGGGTGTCTCGGGATGACACACATCCCACGAAACCACCCTCCGTTACTCTCAGGCATGTTGGGCATCCCCTGAATTAAGGCAGGCAAAGGGAGCGCAGGAGCCCCACCGAGGGTAAAGCTCATTAGGACTCGAGCGTGTTGACCTCCGAAAAATTGAATTTAGCTCCATCCAATTGATGAGTCACAACTGTGTGTGTGCAACGTGCTCCCTGCAAGCAAGGTTTCCACCACAGAGCTAACAGGCTTTTCTGGGAAGCACTGGGGTTCTGGGCTTCCTAATTATTTTCAAACCCTATTGGCAGCCTCCCTTCAACAGGGATTATGCCTGCTCGAAGCACAGCACTCAAGCATGCTCGGAGTCCTGAAAGCGCTAATTGACTTTACGTTTGGCCTCGCTGCTGAGAGCCTGCTCTCTCGCAGCCCCAGTCCCTCCTCCTGCTACTGCGGCGAGCCCGCCTGCATGTGGTTTGAATTTCTTCCCCGGAGAAAAACCCCCTTTCTCCTGTCTTGGTGTCATCTTTCCCTGGAACTGAATATGGGGGAAATGAAGAGGAGGCCAAATCATCGCGGAGTGACTACCTCCCCTCTCGAGGCAATGATGGGCGACCTGCGAAAGCGAGGGGCGAAGCCTGCGCCATGAGCCACCGATGCCCTGTCCCACCCGATGTCCCTTGGCACAGCAATTTCGGTCACCTTGAGCGGAGTGCGGGGGGAGGGCTGCCCCAACACGGTTAGCTCTCCCTGCTCTGCAGCGGGGGGATGCTTTCCTTCCCTCCAGCTGCGTGCTGGGAAAGCTCTGCCTGCACAAAGCAGCGCGGGTAGCCCCGTCGGAAACACGGCGGTGCCATCCTCCGGCACCCGGCCCTGCTCGCCCCAGGCGAGGTGACACACATGGGCTTCCCCATCCACGGGAAAGGAGCAACAGCGAGCTGACCCCGAGGGAGGGACGACGCTCTGGAACAGACTGCAACACCCAAACATCAGTCAGGGATCGTCCACAGCTCCTCTCTGCTTTCTCCTGCCGAGCCCCGGGTCATACCCGGCGTGGCACGGCACGGGGGTGAGCCAGTTGCCCTGGCTGTGCCGGCTGCCGTTCCCAGCACGGAGGGCTCACCGGTTGCCAGCGGGGCAGGCGATTGGGAAATCTGTTTCCTCTTCTGCTCGTTACGACACCGCAGCGGGTGCATCCAACGGGAGCAGTGAGGCAGCGGGAAAGTATGAAGGTCAGGGGAGGCTGTGGTTTGTGTGACGGAGGTGAGCCCGGCTGACGTGTCTCTACCTGCTCCGAGCGCCGCAGCCCTCCCCTGGGACAGCACCCGCCCCCAGCCCTGCTTCTGCACGGAGCAGCTCGCCACGCGACGTGCGGCCCCACAGATCCCGTTCCTGGGTAAAACAGGGAGGAAAACGGCCACGTGCGGCTTCCCCTAGATTTCCACGGGCAGGAGGGTTGTCGGTGCGAGAGCTGGGCACGCGTCCTCACGAACACGTGCAAAGCGTCCGGGATGCTGGCAGCTCCGGGGGCTTCGCCGGGCTCGCGCAGCATCGCTCCCGCTCCCGGCTTTGCCCCCAAAGAGGACGCGGCTGCTCCGACGACGACGACGGCACCGACGTGCCCAGCAGCCGATGTGACGCACTTGCCCCGCGGCGCTAATGAGCCGGCTCTGCAATCCTCGTCACCTCGTTAATGACTTGGCCGCTGCATCCCCAGTCGGGGCTGTGCTGTCCGTTACCTCCCACGTAGCTTGCAGGCCCCTAACTCGCGTTAGGGGAGCTGCTTTCATGTGGCCAGTGGTTTTCATCATCAACGAGCCACAGAGCGAGCGAGACACTGGAGCAGAGGAAGGAGCCAACGGGGAGCCAGGCGGCATGGGCCGGCGCGGCGAGGCACCGTGGGTGCTGGAAAGGCAGCTTTGATGTAGCAGCAGCCAGCCCCGGGGCCGTGGGCTCAGGTATGGTGGGGACCCGGCTCCCAGGAGGGTCCCGTGGCAAGGGGACGCGTGGAGGCATCCCGCTTTACCCCGTGCTGTGCCCATGGAGGGGCTGCTCAGGCCAAGGGGGGGACGGGACTCAGCACAAAAAATCGCCCCTCGTGTGTGGTCCGGAGCAGCCAGCACGACATGGGGAAGGGAAAATAAATGAAGGATGGACATGGTGATGAGGGCACGGGAGGACAAGCTGATGGTTGGACGGGAGCGCGTGGTGATGGGCGAGAGGGTGGACTGCAGATGGTGGGGGAACGGGGGTGGCAGCAAGTTGGATGGGAAAACAAAAGCTTGGTAAGCGCTCGGCACAGCTTGTGTGCGATTCCTGCTGCTTCTCGCCCCACTGAGGCACCGCCGGCTCCCGTGGCCGCCGATCCCAAACAAGCTCCAGCACCTGCAGCGGGTCCACGGGCAGGCGGGGGAGCCCGTTAGCGGCGCTGGGCCACAGGATTTAGGATCAAGTTTCTGGAGGAAGACCCACGATTTCAAATTCTGCCTCGGGAGAGGGGCATCCGAACAAAGCTACTGGTACCCGCCTCGCCCACCCAGCGACGAGCTGTGCCGGGAAAGTGAAATGTGGATGCCGTCAAAGCCTGCAACCGCGGCTGCTGCCCGCCGGGAGCGAGCCGTGGGGCGGAAACGCTGCGTGCTGCCGTGAATCACAAGCTCAGCGCTGGAAAAGCTCCGGCTGAGGCATTTCCTGCCGTTCCCATCTCATCCCCATCCGATGTCTCCCTCGAGGAGCTCCCCGTGCTGCAATCCTGTCCTACCGTGGAAAAATCAGCGGCGGCTTCGCTGCCGAGCGCGGCACGGCCGGCGCAGCTCACTCAAACTTTCAAGCCGCGGCTTTTTTTTGTCAGAGCCAGGACTGGCAAGACGGTTCGTGCAAACGGGCAAGCGCAGAGGCTGGCAGGCCTGGCCGTCTGCGGTTGATTGTTCAGCCTCAGTGACTTCTCGAGGGGTGGTGGTTGGGGGGAAATGGAAAGAGCGAACAGAGCGAGGTAATTAATTGACACATAATGAAGTCAAGATGAGCGTCCCCAAGGAGCTGGAGCTCGGGTTGGGAAAGCAGCAGATGACGGTGGTCGCAGGCGCGGGGGCTGCTTCATCCCCAGCGCCGGCCTCCTGCCAGCCACACCGAGGACACCGGCGCAGGGGAAAAAAAAAAAACCCAAACAATCCCCTCAATACCTTTCAGTGGCAAGCTGAACAGCATTTATATGTTAGAAATGCTGTGGCGCGGAGGAAGGAGCTGCGGAAGGAATGAAATAAACCCGCCGACGGCTGTTGCTCGGGTGCCGGCGGGGAGGCACGGCAGGCTCCCGACGCTTTTCTGAGGGGCGCGGAGGAAGAGCCGGGGGCAAGGGAGGAAGGTCGGGCAGCCCCCGTCCCAGAGCGTGGTGTCGGCGAGCAGAGGCGCGCCCGCTGTGGGGATAAATATGAAATTTCCCCACATGGCGGGGGGAAAATAAAAAAAAAAAAAAAACAAACCGAACCGAACCAAACCGAACCAAACCAAACCAAACCAAACCAAACCAAACCAAACCAACCAAAAACAAAACAAAACAAAACAAAACAAACAAACAAAACAAAACAACAAACCCAACCCGCGGCGGTCGGAGCGCCCGGGCCTGGCGCAGGGGACGGGGGCCCTCTAGTGAGGGGCGGCCCGGCTCCGCCCCGCAGGCCCCGGGACGAAGCTCCGCAGCTCCCGGCGCTCGGGGCCTTTCCCGGGCGGGCCCGGCGCGGCCATGGCGGGGCTGGAGCCGCTGTACGCCTGGGCGAGAGCGGCCGTTTCCCGCCCGCAGGACGCGTTGATCTGCGGTGTCCACTGGGAGCTGGTCCGACGTGGCTACCGCTGCCTGGGTGCTGGCGACCAGGTACGAGCGGAGCCGGGCCCCGCCGGGTTTTTCCTCCGCGGAGGCCGCGGCCGAGCCTCGGCCTTTCCTAGCGGCGCTCGCCGGCGCCGCTCGGCCAAGCCCCGGCGCCTGCTGCCGGTGTTGGGGGGAGGGGGGGGTGCGGCGCTGGGGGGTTCGGGGGCACCCAGGTCTGTGCGGGGCCTCAGCGTGGGGCTGCGGGGGTCCCGGTGCTGGGGGGGAGTCATTGCGGCAATCCGGGGGTGGGGGTCCCGGTGCTGGTGGAGGTCGGTGTAATGGGGACCAGCGTGGTGCTGGGGGGAGCTTGGTGGTGAGGAGGAACCCTATACCTAAAGGGGTGGTGTACAGTGTTGGGGAGGAAATGTGGTGTCCTCGGGGGGGGGGGGGGGGGGGGGTGTCCCAATGTTGGGGAGGGTGGGTGCTGGATCCAGTGCTCAGACTGGGTTTTAGTGGGTTGGGAGCCTGATGTAGTGCTGGGGCGTGTTGGGAGGGTGCTAAGGGGGGCCAGTGGTGGGGGATGCAGGGCACTGTTGTAGCAGAGAAGCCCTCTCAGTACCAGGGGAGGGAGCAGTGTGGGGCAGTGCCCCTTGGCAGCACTGCCGCGGGGCTGGGACAAACAGGACAACAGCCTTCCCCCCCACACACACACACCCCAAACAGCTCTTTGTCGTGCTGGGGAGCCACGAGGTGCCAGGCAGGGAAGAGCATCACACCCCCACACAGCCCTCCCCCAGTCTGGGTCTTTGTTGCCTCCTGGTTGTGTGGGGTGGTTGTGTCCCTCCTGTTCCAGCGCAGGAAGGCTGGCAAGCAGGCAGGGCCAGCCCATAAGAAATAAAGCACTAATCTTACAGTCAAAACCTGGAAGGCACTGAGAGATAGATCCCTTCCCGGAGACCTAAATGCTCTCCTGGATCTCTCTGTGCAGCCAAGACAGGTCCCCCCAGCCCTGCAGCGTGCTGGGGTCTCAGCAGCATGCTCGTTCTGTTGCAGCCAGGTCCTGATGAGAGAAAGTCGGAGCTGCTGCCCGCCGGCTGGGAAGCCAACAAGGAGGTGTATACGCTGCGGTACAAGTCCACGGACGATGTCCGTGAGCTGCTGCTGAAGGCCATCATGGTGGAAGACAGTATGATCCTCAACGTCATGGTGAGCACCCGCGCTGGTCCCTGCGGGTTTGGGGTCCTTTGAGAGCAGCAGCTGCAAAGAACAAGAGGGCCCATTTCTTATCTTTTTGCTGTTACTTGTTCTACCTTGCAGTGGTGTTTGTCCCTCGAGACGGGGCAGACCCAAGGGGTGTTAGGGGCTGCCTGTGCAGCAGAAGATGATGTGGTTTACCTTGCGCACTCTGGCCTGGGAGTTGCCCCATTTCTCTCACTTTCCTAGCTCGGGACTTTTTTGTAGATCTCCTCCTGTCCCCAACAAGCACCTGCCCGGGATGTTTTTGCTCAGTCTCTCACCCTTTGCAGCCCAGATTGGAGGAGGGAGTAGGGAGGGCTTTGTTGTACACCAGAGTTTGCTCCCGGGGATTCGGGCACAGCACAGGGACATGTCAGGAAACCAGTGAGCCCATTCCCCGTGTCCCAAACCCCTGGCTGTGGTTGTACCTGCTCCTTGCCCCATTCCCAGCTCTGCTGGGCTGCTGACTCCATGCCTTATCTGTCTTTTGCCAGGATCGCAGTTCTCAGAAGGTGGCAGATGTGACCTTGACAGTGGCTGACTACATCAACCCAGAGCACCTGGACGATTTCCACAAGTAATCTCAGTTCCCTGGTATTTTCTGTGGGAGAAAAAGTCCCACTGGCGTGGGGAGGGGGGCAGAGACCAGGTTAGGAGGAGCCTGGAGGACTTTCCTCCCCAGTACAAACCCTGGGGGCAGACCAGCCAGCTCTGAAATGCAGCCAGAGCTCCCTCCCCTGCCTCCCTCTGCACTGCTGGTAGGCGAGAGAGATTTAGGGGATGGCGGGACCGTGGGTCAGAGCCCAGGAGAGAGCCACTCCACCTGGGAATGGGCCAGGCCAGCCCAGCACACTTATTTCCAGAGCACTGCCTGCCTGTCTGTGCTGGACGGACACTGCCCAGGGGTGCTGTAGCTTCAACCGTGCCCCACATACCCTGGAGCCTTGCTAAAGACCAGTGCCACGCGCTGTGGTTTCTTCCAGTGCAAACCAGTCAGGTTGTGAGCACAACACAAGGGAGTCCCCTGGGCTGGGTGGCACCTCTGCTGTCTTGAATGAGGTGAGGGCTTTGGTGCCACTGTGTGCTGTTACCCTCTCCTGTCACCTCTGTGCTGCCGGCTGGGGACACGATTTTGTGCCAGGGATGCTTTGGGCTGGTTCATCCCCTCTCCACCCCTCTCGTGGCCTGTCCAGCACCTCCTGCCCAGGTGCTGTGGCCTCCCCAGCCCACCGTCTTGCCTCTCCTCCTTGCAGGGTGTACAAGAACACTGAGGAGCTGAGGACAAGGATTGCTTCGGGCATCCTCGCTCCCCTTGGGGCCCCTGCAGAAAAGGCAAAAAAGGAGCCTGAGCCTGAGAAGAAGGATCCTGACCTGCGGGAGGATTACGACCCCCTCAGGCTTCCTCCCCGGCAGCCAGCAAGCACGAGAGCACCGTCCTGGTGAGCAAAGAGCGGGTGGCTGCTGACGCTCCTCTGTTAGACGGGACATGGTCCTGGCAGAGCTCTCCAAACTAAACCTCTGGTGCACACGTGGAGTGAAAAGGATACAAACCCTCCTCAGGCAGTTTCAGCCTCGTTGGCTGGATGCTTGGGTCTGATTTAGGTTGCCTGCTGAGGCTGTTTCGGAGCTGTGAGTTGGTTTGACCTTCCTCTGGCATTGCCTGGGGATGTAGCTGGAGATCTACACGCCCAGGAGGGAGAGGGCAGCGTGCAGGGCTGGGGGAAGGTGTGGGGTGGAAGGAGGGAGGCCCTGCTCCGTGCTGGCTGAGGGGTTGTCAGGGCTTCAGGGCTGGGACAGCAGTGGGAAGGACGGTGCCACCGTGGGGCCACGCAGGCTCCGGGAGGGCTACCGGAGCGCTGGGTGTCCGGTTGTGCCGTGGGGTCTGTGCTCCTGGCAGAGGGGAGAGGGCGTGTGGTGTGTGCGGAGCTCTGCCTTCGCTTGGCACGGAGCCAGGGCTGCCTCTCAGCCTCCTGCTCCCCGTGGCACGTGGAGCTGCCCTCCCAGGACGGTGCACCCAGCTGGGGCTTGGGGAAAGACCCAGGAGGTGTGGGGAACAGAGACCTCTTCTTGCTCTCCTGACCCTGCTCGCCCTTTGAAACCAAAAGGGAGGGGAGGAGGGACACAGGGCACCTGACTCACTGTCCCTCCCTGGCCCCTTCGTGCCCCGTGTGTGGCCAGTGGGCTCCCCCCTCTCTCCCCCCATGGGCTGCAATCCCCTTTGGCTGGAAGTTGGAGACACTGTGGTGGCTCTGCCCTCTCTGGGGGACTGGCCGTGGGTTCTGCCTTTTGGTGTCACCTCTTGTTTCTTTAACCCCGCTGCCGTCTGCTGGTGCTCAGGGTGAGAGATGCTCCTCGGGGAGGCCTGGGCAGACGGGCTGGAGCTGGGCACGGCTCTGAAACCATGTTATTGGCACGTAGGATTGGCAAGGAGATGTGAGAGCTGGCTGCAGGCTCACCGCCCCACTGTCCTCACGCTCCTGGAAGCGGGACTGTCATTACGTCTCCGGCTGGGACACGCGGGAGAGCCTGGCCCAGCCTGGCACCTCTGGCGTGGAAAATCCCAGTGCCCAGCCCACTCACGCAGGGTCCCGCAGGTCCCAGGGCCCTTTGGGTGCTGCAGTGCTTGGCGTGGGAGAGCACCCACGAGCGCAGCGCCGGCAGCCGCGCGGGCTGCCCTGCCCTGCCCTGCCCTGCCCTGCCCGCGTGCTCGCTCCGCGCAGCCGGTCTCCCCTTCGCTGAACGTCTCGCCGTGTTTTGCCTTTCAGGCCTTCCCCCTTGAGCCCCTTCGCTGTTGGTGGGGAAGACCTGGACCCTTTCGGGTGAGTATGGCTGGGAGTGGTCGCGCTTTGCGTGCCCGGGGAGCGCCCCCCCTGCTCTGTCCTTGGCGTGGGGGTGGCTGGGGACCTTCTCTGGAACAGATGGGGTCCAGCGAAGTGTCTCTAAGTGCGACAGCAATGGGACAGTGCAAATTGCAAGGGACCAATTGACAGTTGCTAAACCTCAATATGGTTCTAATATCGTAATAAGATCCCGTCTCTTGCATAGATGATAGGTTGCAATCTGTGTCTGTTTAATAATCAGCTTGTATTCATTTAACATGCAGTAATTCCTTCAGTAAATCAAAGCTGAATACGTCGTTAAGTGAATGTAAGCCTCTAATTTAAAATGTTACCAGCTGCTGTGTCTACAGCCCAGCAGCCTGGAGAAGGGGAGGCTTAAAACCCAGTCCAGAAATTCTCGAGTCCTGGTTGTGAGCCTCCCTGCTGTCTGAGGCACTCGAGAGGAAGCCTGGGCAGAAGCAGAGCTGTCTGAGGCTACTGATCTTCACAGATACATCTCTGTGTCTTTGGTTTGGTCGGGCAAGGATAACCTGTCATCTTCCATCCCAGTTAAAAGCACATCGTCGGACAAAACGCAGCTCTTGGGTTCCTTGCAGAGCATCCTGCAGCCCAAGGGAGTCCTCGCTGGAACCACTCTCCTGTAGGGATGGCATTTTTTCCCTTCTTGCAAGACTCCATTCTCTGTGGGTTGGGCCAGCTAAAAACATCCTGGGCCTGGAGCCTGGGCGGCTGGAAGGAAACCCAGTAACACGAGGAGAGGGGGTTCAGTTGTGTGGGGGGACCCTGTTTCTCTCGCTGTCTCTAGCCCTTCATCAGAAGTTTCTCTGTAAATGACAAAAAAGATTGTAAATGGAAGCAGATTTGTGCGCTGCCACCTGCCAGCGCTGGGGCTGGAGATCCAGACTCCCAGGCATATGCTCGTGGGGCCTGACTGTCCCGCGGCGCTTTGGGCAGCTGGCCTGGCGTAATGGAACTCATTAGCGCGGTTGTTAATGACTTGTATGATGGCAGCGGTGTCCAGAGGCTCCAGCCGCGTTTGCACAAAGCCAGTCGTGAGGAATGGCACTCACAGCGTGGGGCAGCTCCGAGGAGCCGCCGTGGTCAGTAAATGGCTTCCAGGCAGCTCTCTGGCAAAGGCTGCAGGGAGCCCCGGCCGGCTCCGCGAGCGCTGGCGACACTGAGCAGGGCAGGACCTGCCGCTCGCCCGGGAGAGCAGAGGGCAGGGGCGGCAGTACGAGGCGGCAGCGAGGGCCAGCGAGCCCCAACGCTTCCCACGGGGGATGCTCGGGCAGCCCCACCAGGACTTGCCAACCGTTGCTGATGCCGTAAACGGCTCCTTGCAGGAACCGGGGGAAAAGGGAAGCTGCCTCTGCGCTGCTCCGCCTGTTTTGGTGGTGAGGAAGGCGGGTGGGCGAGGGCTTCCCGGTGTGTTCCTCCTCCCCTTAGGCTTTGGGGTGTGCTGGCCCCGCGGTGCCGCGGCCCTGGGTGTTTGCTGGGGTCCTGGCTCGGGCACACGCTCTGCAGCCGTAACGCTCCCGCCTCGGCATGGCGGTGAGCTGTGATTCACATCCTGCCCCTGACCTTGTGTTGTGACGTAGCGCCGGCGGGGCTGCGGTAACCCCGGGGCGGGAGCGGGGTGTGATGCTTTTGGGTTCCCTCCTGTTGCAGACAGCAGCCTCCGTGGGACAAGGATCCGATGTGCCTCGGTGCTCTTAAACACACACGGGAAGGGCTGGCTGTCTTTCTGCTGTGGGCTCGCCTCGCTGGCTTGCCCTGGCCCGTGCTGCAGTGGGTTGCGGGTGCTTTCCTTCCAATGTGTTGGCTTAATCCCGCATTCCCGTGCTCGGCATTCCTGCAGCAGAGGTTTGGCACAAGGACGCGCTTTGCTCCTCTCTCACCAGTGCCAACCTCATCTCCTTCTCTGCTTTTCCTCTCCCCAGAGGTCGGAGTGGGGGAATGATCGTGGATCCTCTCCGGTCTGGCTTCCCGCAGCCCGGCATTGACCCGTCGTCGGGCATCCCAGGCCGGCTTCCCCCGGGAGCGGTTCCACCAGGTGCCAGATTCGACCCCTTCGGCCCGTTGGGGGCTGGCAGATCCGGGTAGGTATTTGGCCGTGCCTGGTATCCCCAGCCCGCTCTCCGAGCTGCCCCCGGATCTCCTGGGTCATCCCTGTTGCTGCAGGACTGAGCTCTCACTCCTGAATTTCATTCCAGGCCAGATCCCGACCACCTTCCCCCTCCAGGCTATGACGACATGTTCATGTGAGGAGTCACCGCGTGGCTTCTCACGGCTGTGGCCAGAGCAGTCTCCTGGGAAGCAGGAGCACTTTCCCCTCTTCGCTCCCCGTTTGGTGGACTTTGATCTTTTCAGCAGCGTTTTTCTTCTCCCCGTTCAAGGCCACATTCCTGTGTGTCAGGTTTCCCTGTGTGCACAACAGGAGACAGTAAGTTTGTGCTCCTCTGAGGGTGCCCGGCCGTTTGCACCCAGCTGAAGTGGTCCTGCCCCGCGCGAGGCGGCAGCTCGGGGTGCAGCACGGTGCTTTGAGAACGGGCTGGGTGCTGGGGGGGTTTCCTCCTCTGCTTCTCCCGGGTGGCCCCGCTTTTGCTGCCGGGGTTTACACAAGCGGTCGGCGCTGAGGAGGGAGCTTCTTGCTGCTCCTGTGCTGGGGAGCTGCCGTAGCCTCGCTGAAGGCAGCAGCCGGAGCGGGCTCCCCACGCAGAGATGGTTTCTGTCTTGTTCTTTATCCAAGTGAAGGGCTGATCGAGGGCTGAGATCAGCTTCTGCCCGGCCGTGCCTGCTGGCTTTAGAGAGCAAAGCCAGGGCGCTGGGCTAGGAGGGGAGGGTCCTCGGTAGCCCCACGACCGGCCGGGTCCAGCGTTGGCTCTCCAGGCGCGGCGGATCTGAGCCCTTCTGGGGATCCTCACGGGGGGCTGGCTCAGCTGTGGGATTTGCTTTGCAGAAGGGGTTTTCAGGAACACGTTTCCTTACCATCGCATTGCACAAGGCTGGTGCAGCTCTGGCTGAACAATGCCGAACACCTTGGGGGAGGACCGGTGAGATCTGCGTGGCTCAGTCTCCCGAGCTTTCGGGAAACACCCCCCACCTTCCCCACAGCTCCCCCCAGGTCTGTTAATTTTGGGGCTGCAGCTCGTCTGTCCTGTCAAGGGGTTCAGACTGTTTTTTTTTCCTTCTCGTGGTTTGATTTCTTGGGAGGATGTTCATGAGACTGAAATAAAAACCTGCCAACAGCGTTGTGTTGGTGCTTGCCGGGGGTGGCCCCCTTCTCCCCGCCGTGAGAAGGGAAGCCCCAAAGCTCTGCCCGGGCTGCGCCTGCCCTCCCCGAGACGGAGGATTCACGCTGGGAACCTGCTTTGTACCTTCCCCAGAGCAGCGGTGCTTTTCCCAGACGATGTGACTGTATTAAGGAAATTAAGTGGAGAACAGCCCAGCCTTGGCTCTGGCTGTGCTCCTTCCAGTAATTGGCTCTCCGGGGTATTGAATGCCGTCGGTACGCTGCATGCGGCCGTGCTGGCATAAATAAAAAGGGGGAAGTGATCCCCCTGTCTATCTCTTTTCCCCAAAGGCTTTTTCCTTTTAAAACCCCTTTGCCTACAAACGCAGCTAATAAAGCTGAGTTACGGCGTGTGCAACCCTGGGCTGCGCGCTGGGGGGGGGAGCGGGGAGGGCTGGCTGTAGAAATTCAGCACCGGGGGGCAGCTGGAGTGTCCCCCCACGTGTCCCCAGGGCTCGTGTGTGGCTCTTCGTGTTTGCAAGAGCTGGTGTGAGCCCAGACCCGGTGGGGACGTGCCACCCCTGCTGCTCACCCCTGGGGTTTTTGGTGGACGATCCCACCTGCAGACCCACGGCTGGGCCGTGGGTGATGCCCGTGACCGGAGCAGACTGGCTGTGCTTGCGGCGTGGGTGGGATGCAGAGCAAGACCCCAGGGCTCGGTCATTGCTTCCTGCTTGTCCCCTCTGTCCCCTCCGGCTCCTGGGGCAGCCTGAGCCCATCCACAGCTTTGCCCCAGGAGAAAGGAGCCCCCGACCTCGCTGCGTGGGGTTGAGCAACGCTTGGGGAGGGGAAACGGCTTTGGCCTTATCAGAGGGGGCCCCTCTCTGCTGGAGGTGGCTGTTTTCTGTGCCTGAATTAATCATGTTCTGCAACCTTTCAGGAGGGAGAGGCGCAGCCGGCTTTGATGAGGCTAATTAAAGCGAGCCAGCGCTGGGAGAGGCTGCGGCGGGTCCTGATAAACAATCTTTTGTCTGCAGCGCTCAACCCCGGGCGGGTTCGTGGTGCTGTGCAGCTGGGGGAGCAGGTGGGGAAGGCGACGGGTTTCAAAGGGGGGGCCGAGTGCTCGGCATTGAGCCCTGCCCGAGCCTCGGGGCTGCGCCGCCCGCTCTCCGAGAGGATGGAGAAAAGGGGGGCGCGGGTCCTCCTCTCCGAGTCAGAGGATGGGGGGGACAGGAGAGCGTCCCTGCGCCCGGCTCAGCTCGCACCCAAGGGCCACCGCAGAGCTGCCCTGGGGCGCGGCAGCGGTGGCTCCTGGGGATGGGTGATCCCAAGTGTGTTCCTTGCCCCCCCCCCCCCCCGCCCCGGGGCGCAGACCCCATTCCCCAGGCACGGCTGGGGGGAGCGGCTGCCGCTGCTGCAGGCTCGCTCCACGCCGAGCACGGTGGCTGCGAGGGCTGGGGCTCCTGCCAGCAGGAGGGACAGGCCAGGCCCCCGGCTGCGTGTCCCCTGCTGTCCCCGGCCCCGCTGCTGCTAACCGAAGCGATGGAAAGCATTAACATGCAAGGGAGCACAGCGAGCAACGCGCCTCGAGTTAATGTTCCGGGGAGGCCGCGAAGAGCGGCTGGGGCTGGTGTGCGCGGTCTTGGCACGGGCACGGCCCTCCCCTTCTCCCGCAGCACCGGCGAGGCGCTTCCACGTCACGTTTGAAGAGAGACGCTGGATTATTGGTAGTGGCTTGAGATCCCCGGAGAGTCTTTCGGGCCATCTGCCAGCCCGCCCAGCCCAGCGGCACCTGCCCCGCGCGCTGCTAATTACCCCGCAGACGATGCTCCGGCCCCGGGAGCCCCAGGAACTCGTGTGGATTGCGCAGACGGGAAAACAAAACAGCCCCCTGTCACAGGGGTCTGGGAAAGGCATGCTGGGCCCTTCCCTCTTTGCTCACCCCTGGCACAAGCGGAGACACCCCCAAATCCCCAAAGTGGGGGGACTGGAGAGCTCTGTGCTGAGCAGGGGGACGGGGACACGCTGCCTGCCCTTGCACCAGACTCCATGGCCCCGGTGTGGTGGCACTGCCACCCGCCGTGCTGTCCTGGGGTCCCCTTCAGCAGCACCCTTCCCTTCGCTGCTGGGTATGGGGCCACCCCCTCCTCCCCAGTGCCCGTCCCGCTCCTCCTGCCTCCACTGGCAAAACCAGCTTCCCCCGCAGAAACTGAAAGGGATCCAGAAACTGCACATAGGGCTGAAATGCGCTCCCTTCGGGCTGGTTTTGCTGCACCTCAGTGGGGGAAACACGTTTTCTGGGGTGTCTCAAAGCCACCCCTGGTCCACCCAGCAGCCCCTAATTCCGGTGGGTGGGTGAAGCCCCCAGGCCCACCCTGCGCAGAGGGGCTGGTGACCCTCATCCCGCCTGGGCTGTTGCAGCGTCAGCCCCTCTTTCCCAGCCAGATTTTTCTCGCCACCCTGGAATGTTTTTGATTTCTCCCTAAAAAAAACCCTGCACACTAACCACTGCAAGGCAGCACAAGCTGGCTGCGCGGTTCTTCCCCGGGCACCTGCTGGCAGCGATGAAGGGACGGCCAGGCCAAGGCAGGGAGGAGGCACAGGGCAGCCGGCCCCGGGGCCACCACCAGCTCCGTGTCCCCCACCCGCCGCAGCCCCCCCCCACCTCAACCCTCAGGGGGTCTCTATACAAAATCCTAGAGCTCTTGCTGGGGGAGCTTCTTTAATGGCGCTCCTTCCTCCACGCACTTCATTCACCTTAAATTGCAATAGCTAGGTCAATCGAGAGGTTTATCACCCCAGTCCTGCAGGTCCTCGAGGGACAGGCCGGCAACGCGCTGACAAAGCAACGGCGGCCCCTTCCCGCCGAGTCTCTCGAGCTGCCGCACGCTCTAATCCACGGGAGCATTTCTCACACCCACGTAAAGCAGGTGCTCAGCCGCGGTAACAACCAACCAGGCTCAGCCTTTCCGCTTAGAAAGACCCCTTCAGTCTCATTGAAAAATGAAAAAAAAAAAAAAAAAATTTAATGAGGAGGATTTTACCCTCTAATGGGTTTATTTTCTAATCCAGGCTCGCAGGGCCAGCGCTGAGTTGCAGGAGGGATTTCTGCCTTCCCTTTGCGAACGCCCACGGGTCCCCCAGCAGACCCCACGCGAGAGCCTTCCTCCCCTTCCTCCCATTGCATGCTCCCCCAGGTCGGCCCCTCCGTGACAGCCGCGATGGCGTTTGCCTCCCCTGCCCCGCTCATTTTGCCACCCATTTTGCCCCAAGTAGGGCTTAAGCCCAGGGAAAGGTGCCTGGGTGCCGGGGCTGCGGGTGTGAGGCCATTTGAGGTTGTTTCCTGGGACCCTACAATAAATACAGAGCGTGGACGGGTGACACGGTGACAGGGAGAGGGACGCGTGGCCCTTCACAGCAACAGGAGGAGTCGGCTGCCAAGCGTTAGAAATGAAAACACTGGGCAGAGGAAGTTGTCCCCAGCATCTGAAGGGGACACTGGAAGTGCTGAAATAAAACCTGACCCAGGCAATCACACCGCATGTAAAAATGACTTTCCACTCGTGTCGGGCTGTCTGGAGAGATCTGTCTCTGCCTGGAAACATTTGAAGCAAATAATTTATGGGATGGATTGAAAACTGGTGGCAGTTCATGACAAACACCCCCTCTTGTGGGTCTGCTTTTTCCTATGGGATAATTATTTCCCTTTCTCAGCACCTTTCTCAGCATCCTGCTCGTACCACTTTTTCTTTCAGCAGCCCATTGTGCTTTAATGATGCTTCACGTTTAATTCCCGAGGTGCAATTTTTACCTTCAGGCCGCAGGTAACGGCCCTTGCCATCAGCACAAAGGCTGGCGCGGGCAGAGCCGCCCGTGGGACGCGGGAACAGAGGAGCCACGTCCTTTTGAGGCATTGGGAATTGTCCTCCCTCCTCCGGACAGAGCACCATGAGTTTTGAGAAGGCCGGTCCCGGGTTGCTGGTGGGAGTGGGCTGCTCGGCACGGTGCAGGCACGTGTCCCGGCCTTCGTCACCAGTGGGGCTGGGGGATGCAAGGGCTAGGGGTGGGGGGGAGGCTGGACCCCGCTGTGTGGATGGTGGTCACGTTCGCTGTCTCCTTCTCTTCTGCCCAGAGCGGTGCAAGCGCCAACTCCAAGCCACAGAGTTTTACAAGAAACTATTGCTAAAAAAAAGGGTCACTGATGGCAGAAAATGAGAAGCTTCATCCCCAAGCGGAGCCCAGGACCTGGCTGTCGGGAAGGAGCCGGCTGCGGCACAGGAACCTCACGGGCGTCTCGAAGGTGCCGTCGCCCCGATGCTGGTGGGCAGGACCCCGTCGAGGAAGGTGCCGGGGAGGCGAGCGGGGTGTCCGAATGCCGCGTTGCCCCGGTGCTGGTGGTGGGGAGCAGCCCGGCTCGGGCCGTGCAGTCCCGTGGGGCATCCCAAAGCCGCATTGCCCCGGTGCTGCCGGCCGGGAGCCCCGTCTGAGAAGGGTCCGGGCAGGTGAGGAAGGTGGCCGAAGGCTGCCGGGCGGGCGCAGGCGAAGCCTTGCTGGATGGCATCGGTGTTGGGGTGTGGGCGAGGGGAGCCCCGCTTCTGCCGGCAGCGTGGGGTGCCCAGGGCGGCCCGGGGTCCCCGGGGCATGCGGGGCTAGGAGCCCGGCCCCTCGGGGGGCTGGGGGGGGGGGCTGAGCTGGCTCTCCAGCAGCGCCCGCGTCCCCTCGGCCGACACCCGCCGCAGCCGCAGCCGCACCGAACCGTAGGTACCACCGGTGTGGCGGGAGGCCCGGGCGCGGCGGCGGGCTGCGGCGGCGGCCAACAACAGGGCGGCGAGTAACAGCCCACCCAGGGCCAGCAACGCCAAACCGGCCACGGTGCAGCGGTCGAGGCGGGCTCGGAGCCGAGCCGCCCGCTCTTCCAACCGCTCCATCTGCCTGGCCGGTACCGCCGGGTCGGGACGTGCCGCCCGCGGCACGGCCCCCGCCAGGACGACCAGCGCCGCTCCGCTCAGGGCACAG